TGCGAAATCATAATAATGCTAATGTAATGCTTATTAGACTCTCATAAAAGTGGAGACTCCACTGCAACCACAATTGTCAATAACCTGACATGACGCCTGTATCATAGGAGTAGATATGTTTTGTTTATTTGTTATGAAATTACACAACTAGTACTGCAAAACAATAGACTATGGACTGGCATTAACTCTTTATAGGGTGTTATATAAGCAAAACATTTCTTAGCGAACTGCAGGAACTCTGAGCATGCCTATTTACGTATCTATAACGCCGCCTACGTGCGAGCGCGCTCTTGAGACCACCTCTTTAAATGGCCAGTCAACAGGCTCCGACTTTTCTTTTTACACCCCCCCCCCCCCCCCCCCCCCCCATAGAGGCTTGGCAATTCATTTCCGAATATTACAGCGCCGCACACTGTGCAGAGCCTCCATTACGGAAAACTGTTCCCACCCTACTTTCCTATGCCTTTCCTCTTTTTAAGCACAATGTCGCCAATTGGGGACTTGACGAAGCACACAGCACGTTGATTGGTCTATACCAGTCAGGACAACGGGCTATGACTTCCCCTCCCTGTGAGGAAGAATGGCGACGAGGCTGCAGGAAAGTTTGAAACCAGCTGAAACGGATGTTCTAAGCCCTGCAACTTTCTTAATATAGCTCCCATTCACAAAATTCTTGAGACAGCATGTTCACAAAGCTAAAGTTCACATATTTCTTTTGATAACACTTTTTGGACTGCGGGGTTCTTTACTGGCTCTTTGGGTTCAGGTACAGCAAAATTATTATGGGAGGTAGGAGGGTTTGATGAATGTGTCTATTTAGTTATAATATGAATAATGTGAAACTCTCATCATGTGCATCATTACAAGGGCGATATAAGACATTGGTCATTTAAATGAGAGAGTGTCAAGCAAAGCCCATCAGCAGTATTGACCCAATGACTACAAAGAATTATTATCAGGCTCACAGCAAGAATTAAACCCACGAATTCCACGTGACAATCAAGTACTCTAACACAGGGCCATGCCAAGCCTTGAAACTGCTTTGGAAAAACACCCTATGCAGGACTGATGCTGATGAAACATAAAGTGTAGTTGCAGTGCTAGCTATCTAATTTCACAAACATTACATATGTACTCGTACGATACAGGCATTGTGTCAGATTACGTCAACTGAATACTTAAGAGCAATACACTGAAGGTGGTCTATAAGCACTAGAGAAAGCTACCATTCCTGCAAGCACAAGCACTATATATCAGCTCATCCTTTGTGGTGCTTGTAACACCCGTGTTGTTGTTGGCAACATTATGTGACTGCAAACAGCTGGTAATATGAAACATATGCATACATTGAACAGGCATCTGCAAGCATTTGTTAAGCATCATTTTGTAACGTTTTGCTCAAAAAAAGAATATGACACAACCGTCACCTCAGCATAACATTAATTCACACAGTATGTGGGATCTGCTAAATTCTATATTCTTTGCATTCATCAAGTCAATAGTGCCCATATCAACTTTTGTTTGAATTGCCAATGTCTGTTCTCGCCAGTACTAGGCCCATATGTGCATCCCCTGCGGCACTGACCCCTACATTTCAGCACATGGTATACATCTATGTGTCACATAGATTTGGAGAAGGTTTGACGATGTATGGGACAGGATTTTCATGTTATTCGTGGCTTAACCAGAGTATTATAGAAAGCTTGCACTGACGACACTGAAATCACCATGTTGGTAAAAACCTCAAGGCACATGCAAGGTTTGTGACGTCGCGTGTTAATGTTATCTTTACAACTACCACTAGGAAGTATCTTGTTAGGCCAATCGTATTCAGGCTACTTTGTTATCATATTTAAGCAGGTTAAACACTATGGGATTATGCTGCCTTTACGAGGCTGCATGTTGGTGAACCACGAAGCTATGAAGCTGCGACCATAACGTCACGTGCAAGCTATTTATTTGTCAACCCCCCCCCCCCACCCCTAACCCTCCCGTACCAATTTTTCGGCCTACAGCAAACTACGGAGGTGATCAAGAAGCACCCAAACGTAGGTGGCTAAATAGACAGATACGTAGAAAAAATATTAAACGTGCCTTTGGCTCACTAGGAAATGGTTCGCATTTAAAATTTGGCAGGTAAATTATGGAAAGGCACTGGTGTCAGATTTCTCTCTACAATAGTCAATAAGGATTACAACTGTATAACAAACACAAGTTGCGACATCTATGGGCATTTCAGTGTACGTAGATTGGCTAGCAGAGGTCAATAGACCTTTTTCAAGTAATCCGACAACGCCTCGCGAGAGCTATAGGAAAAGTTGGTACGCCGAGCGAACCGGCTCTTCCTCAACCCGCTGCTCATTGTCACTGTGCGATGACATAATGAAAAGAACACGCCACTGCTTGTTGAATAAGGTCTGAACGCACCTGCACGTATATTTACGCATAAAATGTGAAATGAATAACGCAGTCAGTGAAGGTATCACTGGTCGGGTGTACACTGAACGTGGAAGATGAGTGGCATGCGAGTTGTTGTATACCGATATATGTGGCAAAAACATGCTATTGGGAGGGATGTGAGCTGGAACACTGAATTCATAGTTAGTCAACTATGAACTGCTCATAAAGCGCTACAACTTTCAATGCCATCGCAGTTTGATTGGGCCATCAACAGAAGGCTGCAGAGAAGTGTTACAGCAATGGATATTCTTAAATTCTTAAGGAAAAGTCCCACAGTGGAAATAGGAAAAATAAACACAATTCTAAATGTGTTTAACGACAAAGTAATGAAACTAGAATTGACGTGCGAGATACTTTGCTCTGAGAATTTGTGTTTTTTTATAAGATGCCTAACTGTCTCCACGGAGCATATTTGCTGGCAGTATATTCCGCGTTGAGTGAGACCACTCTTGAATTTCGCTTCGGCGTATTGAAATATTGTTCAATGGGGAATAATTATGTACTTACGCTCAAAACAACAAAAAACTAGGACACAATACTTGAGTAATAGTTTCCAGCTGCAACAAGACACGGTGCCCTGCCTATATATTACGTTGCATCGGTTTGTCAACAGCTTTTTTACACTACAATCAAAGATTCATTCAGATGACCATCACCGGCAAAGAAACTAGCTATTCAATGCATACGTTATGCAGTCTGAAAGAAAATTGAGAAGCGACACGAGGTGAGGATTGTGTTTTCCACACCATAAGCTTAGTAAGATTTCTTCCGTAGAGCACAAAAGGTCACGGTGGTCTGCAGAGAAAAGTACATTGAGAGGCATGTCGATTATTCTTTCAATCGTTGTGCAAAAGTTGCTCACCGAACTCTTCTTGCCTTCACGTATATACATCGATGAGATGGGTCGATCTATCAACGCGTGCCTTAGAGAGCATCAAAATTCATTGAACGAAGCCATCTCATTGCACTTCGCATTTTCAGCCATGAAATGCAATTTCATCTTTTAAGGCCTGATAATCGTGCAGTCACCCTAGCCACACCACGCGAGAAATACCGGAGACATATCATAAGGAACACCACACCTTGTTTGAGTCAATGAACCATAGCTATCACTACAATGCAAGAAGCCTAACTTTATTAATCAACTGTAAACATGCGTATTGGTTCTTTGCCTTTTTGTGTCTATTTGTGACATTTGCAATGCACCCTAATTTTCTTACATATGCTTTTTAACTTCTGCGATAACCTTTCAGTCCTTAGTGAGTATTTTTGGTGTGCATATTTCTTTCCTGGTCCTACTTTTTTTCTTTTTACCTTATAAGTTTTATTCCAACCAGTAGTTACAGTGCCAAAGAAAGTTGGTATGTGCATATTGTGCAAGCGGCGCACACATGATCTAGTGAATGTATTTTATTTTACAGAATACTGGTTATTTCTAAAGCACTGTTTGAATATACCAGAGCCGTGCAATTTCCTAATAAACAGCGTCAAAGGACATTGATTCCTAATGCATCTGTGAATTTATGGACAGTGCTTGCACTTTTTAAACAACCAACTTGTACTGCTTTTTGTTTATGCCGAAGGCGGACTCACGCTAAAGGATAATACTTAACTGACACCACCGGGCCGATCAGCTCATTGAACAGGACGACAAGTGCGAATCGTAGACAGGCCATGGTACATAAACACTGAAGTTTGTGAGTGAATCGTGCAGTGACATTTCAAGCCTTTCCGTGTTCACTTGATCTGAGAAGCGCTGGCACGGTGCAAACGAAACGTTGAAGCGCGAGGCCCGCACACTCGTCGCAGTGTCTGCTGCAGCGAACCAACTTTTCCCATAAGCACTTGCAAGCCCGTTGAAGGCGCTAGTGTGCGTGAATAAGGTTTATTGCAATGGCAGGTTAAAGATAGAGAGAACTGCATACTACAATATTTCAACAAAACCACACATCTCTTAAACTTTAGACCTGCTTACGGCTCCTGGTGATGATGCGCCACCGAATACACAACTGCCACGCTTCCCATGCATTAGGAGCACGCCTCTGACGAGTGAACGCTGGGATTGTTACACGTCAGTGCCGAATTCTGCAGACAACTGTTCATTTTCACGGCGTAATAACACTGACGATTAAAATAATGAGGCACGTAGCACAATGTCTCGTTATAAATTATATTTTGCGGGTGTAGAACGCGCCACGGGCGCAAGCCTGCAGCTTTGCGTCCTCATCAACATACGTATGCACGGAACGCTGAGTGTTCCATGGTTTGCCACGACAGTGCGGCCTATCAATAGAAGGGCATTTTATGCACAACAAAACATCAAACATCGGTGCAGATGCGTATACGGTGACATGCGCTGACATCACGCGGTACGCTGCTGCTGCCGCGCGAGCGATACTCTTTGCGTTGAGTGACAACCTCATCGAAGCAGACACGCTCGGCGTGAAGCAACGGTCATGGGACATTTACTCCCGCGAAGCACTCGCGTTCTTTCGAAGTTTAAAGCATGCTCCATGAACGGTTGCTGCAAGGGCTCTTACCTAGTCCCCAATGCTCGGCGAACTCCGCAGCACTCGCCTTTTATCGGGCTAAGAACACAGCGATGGCTGCTGCCGCTAGCGACTGCAACGACGTGCAGCGGTTCAATGTAGTGCTGCGCTGATCTGACGACAGGGGGAAGCAGGCGCTTCCGGCGCTTCTCCGCGTTAATACTGTTGTGCTGTTGGTACGCCGTTGATCCGTAGGCATCATCAGCTGCGTGTCGTTTGCACTGTAAAAACAAAGTTGATAGAAGGCTGGCAGCTGCGGTAGTGATTGGCTAGATTGCGAGTTCCAATAGTGCTCGAGAAAGGTGGCTGGCTCATTTGGTGAACACAACACCCGCGAGCCAAACCCACGCAAATATGGACAGCACTCAGCCCCTTTTTGGCAGCCAAGTGCGCCTCTTACTCGCCGAATCCGTGGGTAATAAAGTGGCAGTCCTTGACGCGGACTGCGATCCTGACGCGCTTGACCGCCGCCGTCGCGGTACGCTGATGTGTGCGTGCCCGCGGGAATTCTACAGCGTGCTCGAGTTCGAGAGTCACTACGCCAGCCACCACCGACTCACGTGCGCGCAGTGCCACGCCGCCATGCCGACAGAGCGCTTGCTTGAACTACACATCGCCGAATCTCATGACCCCATCTTCGCGGCACGTCCCGTATATGAATGTGTCGTCGAGGGCTGCCCGGAGCACTTTGCAAGTTGGGCTGACCGCAAAAGCCATGCAGTGGGTGCGCACAGGTACGTTAACAGTAGAGGCCACGCCCCCTATATAATTTATTTAATTACTGTTACTTTAACTGCTAATAATTCTATTGCAGTTTTTGCAAGAAAACACTCGGAGTATACTGTGCTGTTGGAACTTTTTAAAGCACATTTTCAGGATGATACTCAACAACAGCAAAACACTTTTTTTTTTTAATTTTTGCTCTTGACATATTATTGGACAATGGTTTATGAAATAGTTTAGCTTATTTTTCAAACATGCTTATTTAATTACATTGACTTCAAGAACTTGCAGAAATAATTGAGATATTATTATGGTAGGCAGTTGGGAGATTGGGGAAGGTTTTGGGGCACAAACATTAAATACAGCTAAGGCAAGGCATGACAGATAAGTATATTTGAAGCACACAAAAAAATATTTTTCACAATAGTGCAAACTCCTCCTCTTCTTGCCATTTAGCCCCATCTCCATTCATGAGTCTTGCCCACGAGGCGTGCCAGAAGCCAGGACACTACCTAGTGGAGCATCTATGGGCATCTAGCGGACAAGCTATCGATGTCCGTGTGTAATAGACTACTTTTGCATGTATGATAGTGGTTGTGGTAAATGGATTCGTTGTTGACAAAGAAAAATAGATGCATTGTGAAGCAATTTCGGTGCATCTCACGGTATACGTTGGCGAGGCAGAAAAATGGGATTGTACCTTTTCGCGAATTTCTAATTTTCTGAATGAACATTTGTGTGTGAAGCCGACCTCCATGTCGCCTATTTGGTCTGACCATAATTGTTTGTTTTTGGTGCCTCATGAACCTACCTCTTCGTGCTAAATATTTGTCGTGTGATTTGAAGAGAAAATATAATAAAAATGTAGAATGCAACAGATACAAGAAAGAAAGAACAAAAAGAGAAACATGGAAACCCACCCAGCTCCGCACTTCCTTCAGGCTTGGCTCCTCTAGCACAAAGCTGCCACAGTTTTTGTTTGGAGCCTATGCAGTGCAACGTTTTAAGTGTACTAGAAGCATTTCAATGGGACAAAACAAGGGTTTTGAAGTCAGGCACTGGCCATGCACCCTGTACCTAGCCTGTCGAGAAGCGCTTTATGGGACCTGCAAGTGCACAGCAGGAAAGGTACTCGGCTGCTGACCCGCAAGTCGCGGGATCGAATCCCGGCTGCGGCGGCTGCATTTCCGATGGAGACAGAAATGTTGTAGGCTCGTGTGCTCAGATTTGGGCGCACGTTAAAGAACCCCAGGTGGTCGAAATTTCCGGAGCCCTCCACTACGGCGTCTCTCATAATCATATGGTGGTTTTGGGACGTTAAACCCCACAAATCAATCATCAATCAATCAAAGCACAGCAGGGGCTACATTCATCGGAGTTCCTGCTGTACGCTGTCCACTTCTCACGAAAGTGCTTGGCGAGAAGCGCAGGGCTCACAAAGCACTCATCGCAACCCTATCCGCTTCGGTCGTAGCGCCACCACAGTATTTTTCACACATAACCCCCAAGCAGTGTGGAACGGCTGCTCGGTCCACTCAATGTGCTTACGTTGCAGTAATACTGAATCGGTAGCATGCCATAGTACAGCTCACACACAAACGTCAACTTTTTCACCTTCCTCCTAAACACCTTTCAGTGTACAACCTACTATGCTCTATTAACGTCGTATGGATGAAAAACTTTATTGGGGTCCTGAATAATTCCATCCCCTTTTAAAAAAGGTAGGATCGAGGGCTGCTCTCACGTAGGGACGGGGAGGCCTAGCGTCACCGCCGCATCGTGGGCCTTCTGGACAGCCTTGAGTTGATGTTTGAGAACCGGACTCGTGAGCATTAAATGAAAGGAATATTTTGGTTCCCTGCTCACCTTGGCATGAAGGTCGGGGGCCTTCCTTTTAGGGACATTTTGACTACCTTCAAGGAGATCATGAAGCACTATCAATTAGGCTGTAGGTCCTTTCCATTGCCACAGAAAAAGTTGTCTAAGCCACAGACAATCTCTCTTCGCATGCTTCAGATGGGAACATACCCTAGCCTCATAACCTACAGCCCTTACTCCGATATTTCAGAACTTGCTCCGGACTGCCCCAATCACAGTGATTTTAAACACATGCCTTGGAGGTGCCCCTCTTTACAAGAAAAAAAATGAAGTAGTATCTTCTGAAAATTTTTTTCATTTAATGCTCACGTTGAAGAGTACATAAAATACAACCCTTGGTGGCAAAAGCGCCAACCCGGTGAGTCTATAGAGTCACAGTAGAAGGAGGCTGAAAATACTTAAAGATGTTGGTTCTGGTATTGTAAGGCGTTAATGTGGCAGAGTGGCGATGTCTTGTTCGGCGAGCAGTGAGAGGCTTTATGTAAGGTTCAGGAGAAAGAGACAATTTATTATTATACAGTAAGAATAGAAATTTAAGCCTGTGAATTTTTCTTCTTAGTTGCAAGGACTGAATGTTGTGTTGGGCCATTAGGTCACTTGGAGAGTCACTGGTGCGGTATTTGGAGAAGATGAATCTTACTGCTTTACGTTGGATCCTTTCTAGCGCATCGATGTTAGTTTTAGTGTAAGGATCCCATACGATAGCTGCATATTCAAGCTTAGGACGGACAAGAGAGGTATAAGCGGTTAGACGGGTCTCGGGAGGAGCATGTTTTAATTTGTGTCTGAGGTAGCAGAGTTTTTTGAAGGCTGAGTCGCAAAGGTGAGAGATGTGGGAGTTCCAACTGAGATTATTAGTTATGATGACACCCAGGTACTTATATTCATCACCTCTGTAAGAGGCATGGATGCAAGATTATACGTAAACGAAAGTTTATAATTTTTTTGGTGATTTTCATAAATACTGTTTTATCAATATTAAGCTGCATGTCCCAGCGTTCGCACCATGTTAAAATTTTTTGAAGGTTAGAGTTTAGGGTGATTTGGTCTTGCTGGCAGGTAATTTCATTAAAGAGTAAGCAGTCATCAGCGAATAATTTTATCTGTACAGGTTCAGTAATAGAGTCAACTATGTCATTAATGTATATATTAAATAATAAAGGTCCAAGAACACTTCCTTGGGGAACTCCAGAAGTAACAGCAAGGTCACTCGAACAGCAATTATCAATTGCAACAAATTGCCTACGGTTAGTGAGGTAAGCAGAAATCCAATTTACTAGGTATAAGGGAACGTCCAGATCAACAAGTTTTTCGATTAGTTTCGCGTGTGACACACCAACATCTTTAAGTATTCCTTTTTTCCTCGAACAGTAGCCGACTGGAACAGCCTACCTCTTAGTACACTCAGCAACACCGACTCTATCGCATCCATTTCATCTTAGATCTAGCCCTTCCTCTTTCAATACAGTGATCCAGTATTTTTTTCCCCTGTTTATTTTTTTTACTAACTCCTTTGTACATTGATTAGATAGTTCTGTATTGTTTATCTTCTCATATTGTATATTATTTTTCTTTGTATCACAATTCTTTAGTGCTCATTTACTTGTTAGTAGATTCACTTTGTTGTTGCTTTGTATAGATCCTACTTGTATATATTCTTGATATTTGCAGACTTTGTACTTTTGTTCGTACTTTTCCCCTCCTGCCTGGGCCTATTAAGGCCTGCAGTATTCCTAAAATAAAATAAATAAATAAAATAAATAAATAAATAAAATGCTTAGGCCGTGACTCGTGGACAACGTCACGAGATAAAAGAAGCGACGCTGTCATATTATCCGGGGAAATTTCATACGCTACTTCTGTCACTTTTCAAAACACGCGGTATGGGTCCTTGAAACAAGAAAGTAGCTTCTCAGCAAGGCTGCCATGTCGCGTTGGGCATAGAGTTCCGTAATATACACTAGAGGGAACTCTGGCGCTAGTGTCTATGGGAGCTGCAATGCACGGCGCTTCAGCAAGCATGGGAATGATTGTTAGTACACACATTTGTCTAATCTCCGTACTTCTGGCCTGCTTTTGGCTCCGTGTGTGTTCGTGTTTTCTAACAAAATAAAAATCGGCAAATGTTCAGTGGTTGCGCTTCACCACCTTATTTTTTTTAGACTTACCAATTCGAATCGGGTCACAAAGCTCAAAAGGGTTCGTTTTTTCCTTCAAAACGAAACCGTAACCAGCAATAAACGAAGCCGCAAGTGCGAAGACTAGGCAAATGTGTGTACTACCTATTATTCTCATGGTCGCTGAACGATCGCAGCGACAGAGTCCCCTCTAGTTAATTTTAGGAAACTCTATGGCATTGGGGACAGAGTATAAAGAAGGAACTCGGTGAAAATCGCTCATAAGATCCCTTGATGTAATGGTGAACCTGTACTTTTTGTGAAGCCGTCCATCTGTTTCAAGCTAGCTGACAGGCGTGGTCAGCACGAGCAATAGCATTTCCAATGTATACAGTGGTAGACTGCAGAAACCGGATGGAATGTACCCAGTAGCAATAATGGTTTGTGCTTAAACAAAAGGTGAAACGGTGAGTTTCCGGCAGCGCCGTCATTATCAGGCGAAGTTGTACGAAAATGTTGCGTATGGCAGTGTAAGGTCCCAGTCATGGTGGTTGGTCGACACATATTTCGAAAGCATGTCTGTGAGAGTCCGGTTTAAGCGTCCTGTAAGTCTGTTTGTACAGGGACAGTACGAGGTCCGTGAAGTTATCTGGGTAGAGCAGAAATGCAGGATATTGTCAATCACTTGCGCAAGAAAGGTTCGGTCTGTGAGCAGTGGTCGTGGGGCACTGTGTGCTAGAATGTTGTTGTCAACAACAGTGAAATGCTTTCTGGACTCTTGACGGGGTACTGATACGAAATTTCTCACTCATGGTTTTTTGTGCCAAATAATAGGCCAAGCTTCCAAAAGTGTAAGAACCCTAGCAAAAATCACCTATATAGAAAAATCAATAGCCTATCGGATTATTGAACGTATTGGTCTATTGGTATTCTATAAGTTTATAGGTAGCATTGTGGTCTATGAGACCTCTATTAGTCTATTGATGTGTTTGCCCAGAGGCTCTTTATTAGCCTAT